GGCTTTGGACTCGTGGCTCAAGTACCGCCGCCTGCGAAGGGGCTAACCGTTAACCAGCTCCATCCCGGCGTTCACGGGAACTCCTGGCACAAGGCAGGCAGTAGCCCCTGGCGTGCAGAGGCACGAGGTCCCGTCAACCAGGCTGGGGTTGTGAAAGCTCAGCCTGCTTCGTGCCGCAGCAACGATCCCGCTTAGAAACCTTTTCAGCTGGAAGGGGATGTTTCTGGCTGCCCGGAGCCGCGGCAGGGATGATGGGACCGTCCAGGCGGCTGGTCCCCTTATTCCTTGGGGAACGCGTGCCCCTCGCCAGGGGGTCCATTTGGAAAGCACCTTCCTTGGAGGATGCTTGCTAGAAGATCCTTGCTCAGCTCAGCAGAGCGCCCCGGCGGCAAAAGGAGAAGCATCTGTGGCAAAGTGAAAGGCTGAAGAGCCTCTTTGACCGGAGAGGACGTGGGAAAAGGACGCTTAAAAACCCTTTACGCTTTGCAATGAAAAGAAAGATCAAAGGAGAGGGTCTGGGACATGGAGATGGGCTGCAGACAGCGGGCTGGACGTCTGCAAAGGGCCGAAACCTGCAAAATCCAACCGAAGCGCTCGCAGGGGAACCAGGACCTAGGAAAGGGAGAGAAGCAGCGATAGGAGCAGGCTCTCCACGCCTTACTGCAGCTGCAAGCGAGGGCGCGGTGGGTCCTACAAACGGGGCGCACCGAGCTCGCTGCCCCCTCCCTTGAGCTCAGCCCAGAGGCACAGTACTAAGTTTGCTGCATTTCGGAGGGGGAAAGCAGCAGATCCCGGGAAGAGCAGCGAGCCGTACACCGGAGGAACGGGAAGACTTCCAGTCTTTACGACGCACACCGTAGGGGCAAGGGCCCTGGTCCCACAACGAGAAGCACGGAAAGGCAAACTGGGAAGGCCAGGAGGAAGGCAACGCCAGCGGACCAAGGAGCGTGGGAGGAGTGGCAAACCTGGGGCCAAGCGAGAGGACTGAGGGAGCGTGACGGGGCGCAGACATCCTTCAAGGCCCCGCAAGCATTTGCTTGGCAATGAAGGGCAGGCAGGGGCATGGGGACCCCGGGCAGAGCTGCACCTGGGGGCATTTAAGGGGTGGAGCCAATTTGAGGCCTGAGCTGGAAGGACGGGGTTAGTCTTGCCAACCTCCGGGGGTTGTGGGCAGGTGGGTCTGAGCCTCTGCCGTTGCAAGAAGACTCCAAAACGGTGCGGTTTTGAACCCCGAAGGCGGTGCTCTTCAGTGTGCCCTGCCACCAGCACGTCCGGCTGCCACTGGCGCAACCCCCTGCCGAGGCGGATGGATAACGTGGAAGAGGGAACGGCGCCGAGGAAAACCAGTCGTGTTGGGAGGGCAGCGGAGACGTATTCCAAGGCTCGGAGCGAAGGGCAACGGGGGGAGGCACGTGCATACAGCGGGACGTGGGGAGAGAGCGGTGGGCGCTGAAATACGCCTCTGCACTGCTGCCGCCGGAGACCGGGGCGCGGTCGTTAGTAATATGGTGCCAGGGCTGTGGTCTCTGTGAGTAGGGCAGGGTTGACGGCAGTGTCGCGCAGAGTTTGGATAGGGATGATCGTGCTTCGGGCAGAGGGTTGGACTAGATGTGACCTTTGGAGATCCTGCGCAGCCCCGCTTCTCTGTGCCCCCATAGAGACTAGATAGATGGGGTGGACCCCACCCCCCATGGGAAGTTCACAGTACGGAGGGGGAAGAGTTAAACACCTCTTTCCAGTTGAGGGCTGGGGGGGAGCCCCACGTTTTGGGCTGAAGGGTAGAGCAGTAAGGATCATATGGGGCTGCCCGGGGGAGGGGACTCGGACTGGGCGACTATTAAGGGTGGGAGAGGACTTGGGGAAATCCAGGGGCGGGGAGGGCTGGGGCGGGGGTGAGAATCTGCTAGGCTTATTCCACGAAACGCATCAAAACAGCATGGGCACGAAGGCCGTGCCGCTCGCCGGGCATTCGGATAAGAGGGGGGTGGGCATAGTGACTTTAGTCTTGAGACAGGCCGGTCCTTGACAAAAGGGAGTACTTTCTGATCACAGGACATTTTAAAGACTCAGAAACATAAAAAACGAGGGCTGGAAGGGAGCTCAGGAGGTCACGCCTAGTCCAACCCCTGCTCCAAGCAGGACCAGCCCCAACCACATCATCCCATACAAGGCTTTGTCCCCCTGGGTCTTCAAAACCTCCAAGGATGGAGACTGCACCGCCTCTCTGGGGAGCCTGTTCCAATATTTTACTACCCTCCTAGTGAGAGAGTTTTTCCTAACATCCAGCCTCAACTTCCCTTGCTGCAACTTGAGCCCATTGCTCCTTGTCCCATTATCTGCCCCCACTGAGACCAGAAATATTAACAGCTGTAGATCGCTACCCCCTGGTCCCCAGCCAGGCTCAGCTCGCTCTTTTTCCGGTTGTTCAGAGCTCTTAATAAAGGCAGGGGAGGGAAAGTTTCATCTAAGCCCTAGGGCGTGAATTTGAGTGAGGTCCTGATGCGGTGGCGATGGCCAAGACGTGTGTGAAGGAAGGGATGGGAGAGGCTGGGACACCTGGAACGGGATATTTGGGGAGTGAAGAGCCCAGGAGCTGCGCGTCCTGCTGTGCTGGGGCCGAGGTTCGGTAGCTCCAGCACCGCGCGCCCTCCTGCACGGGCCGTCGGGCTGGTCGGTCCCGTGTCTCTGGTACCGAGTGCAGCGGAGCCCGGGAGCCCAACGCACCTCTGCCCCGGGAGCCCCTACGGCTGCAGGAGCCGCAGGGATTTCCCAAACTAGCGAAGGGCCTGCGTTAGCCCCTGCTCCACCCAGGGTTTAAAGCCAATGACCGCAGCATCTCCGCTTTGACCTCACGGCTCGTTAGAAAGCTACCTGGTTCCTTCTAAACTCTTCACTCCACAGGTGTTACCGCCCCTCCTTGCCACGGTCTGGATGGTCCACCGATCAAGCTCACCTTTTCCCTGCAGGCTGCTGTCTGGTCCCTGTTCCCTCGACAGCCCTGCAGACTGCTTTTACCTCGCTGCAATCGCAACGAAGTGGGGCTGGACGGGCCCGGCAGAGGTCACGTCTGGTCCGGCCCCTGCCCCAGGAAGGATCAGCCCTGGACGTAGCCAGCCTGCGCCATCACATAGGCAGACACGCTGCAGATCAATAGTGGGAGCCTGGTATCCAGCATGCGTCAAACACCAGCCGCGGTGTTTTATCTCTCTCAAGGGCACATGGCAGCCTACACGGGCAGATAGAGCAGGGAGCAGAAAGCAGAGCGGCAGATCAGGCAAGGGAAGGGGCTCGGAGCGGCCATTTGTGGCACCCCTGCCAAAGAAGTTGTTTGCCCCCGGCTCTAGAGCAGGCTTTTCACCTGGTTTAGGAACCTGGTTCGTGTGTCACGGCGCTCGCCTGCGTGAGAAGGAGCAGGGAAGAGCCTGCGCGCACCTCGCTCGTCTGCTCTCCGGGCAGCTCCTGTCCGTGGCGCTCGCGGCACCCCGGGCGGGAATCGCTGCCACAGATGCAGGGGCCAGCCTCTGGCTGTGGAGCGCGGGCCCAGCCGGGGCTCTGCTCGGAGTGAGACTTTGCAGTGCATGCTGCAGCGGGAGGGCATTGCACGGGATCCCTCCGCACTGATCCATCCCTTTCAAAACCTGCCCTGGATCCCTCTTTACTGGGCAAGAGAGGGCAGAGGAAGCCTCGCCTTCCTTTCTGTTCAACAGCCACGAGTAGCTCGGCCCTCCACGAATGGCCCCAGCCCCTTGCTGGCTGTGCTGTCTGCCTCCACCCCTCCTGTGGCAGTGAGTGCCACGAGTTAACAATGCAGTGCATCGAAAAAAATAGGACTTTCCCTTGCTTCTCCTGTACCTAAGGCCCCTGGAGCTTTTGTACTAGCACCTGGACGCCTCTTGTGCAGCTTTTCATTGACAAGAGGATGTAGCAGCGATGCCAGCCCCATGGGCGTTTGCTCCCAGCGTGGCACCTCTGGCTGCAGCTGGACTCCCAGACGCAAGAGAAACACGCTGTGCCGCTGCTTGTAAAAGACCCTCTGCCCTCCCTCAAAGCAATAGCGTTGCAACCAAGCGGCCTGGGTCTGGTCCGTGGGGATAGGGCTGGCCCTGCCCAGAGCCGGGGTCAGACTAGATGTGACCCGGCCTCTCTACGACCATCTGTCGCGTTTCTGAGACCCTTCAGCAAGACTTGGACATTAGTTAAGGAGCCAAAGGTGAGCACATCGGTGTTACACTGGGCTGCTTGAGTCTGCAGAAGGGAAGACCGAGGGGGATTGAATAGCAGCCTTCACCTCCCTGCAGGAGGGCTGCAAAGAGGATGGAGCTGGGCTGTTCTCAGTGGGGGCAGATGGCAGGACAAGGAGCAATGGGCTCAAGCTGCAGCAAGGCAAGTTGAGGTTGTATAGCAGGAAAAACTTTCTCACCAGGAGGGTGGTGAAGCGCTGGGACAGGCTCCCCAGAGAGGTGGTGCAGTCTCCATCCTTGGAGGTTTTGAAGACGCGGGTAGACAAAGCCTTGTCTGGGATGCTGTAGCTGGGGCTGGTCTTGCTTTGCCCACTGGTCAGCACGCAGTGCCTTCCCCAGCACCTGCCCCACAGTCAGCCCGACCACGGGGACGGCTTTCATTAGGAGGGTCAGGTGCAAAGTGTGTGACCTGCCAGTTCCTGATGTCCTCGCGTCCCCCAGCCCCGCAACCGTTTTCATTGCCCCCCACAGGCGTCTCCAACGTGTCCACGTCACCCAGATCCCGCCGCACCTCAGTGGCTTCAGCTTGCTGCCTCGCCACAAGCCGGCTCTTGCCCCTGCTCTAATATCATCTACTATCAAGGACTCGGGCCTTCAGGATGAGCCGCTAACGCAGGGGTGAGTGGGCTGACGGCCCCGCTCTCACCCCAGGGCTGGGGCACAAGCTCCCAGCGACCCCGTGGTAGCTCCGTGACGGACACCCGCGCAGCGCTGGAGCTCAGCTTGCCTGGGGCAGCGTGGCTGCAGCCGTCCGGACACCCCTGGGAAATCGCTGGTGTCCCCTGGTTGCTCCCCAGCTATGAAGATCCCTCGGGTCCCGCTGGCCTCAGGCACCTCCTGCTTGGGGAGGCCAGGACCGCCTGGCTCCATCCCTCTCCACTGGGGACGAAACCGCCCAGCGTACAGGGGCCAAAGAGCCTGGCAAGGGCCCGCGACAGCCTGATGCGCCCACGTGCTGTTGGAGGGGCCAGGTCAGCCGCCGTGGGACACAGGGCAGGAGGGTCCCGGGGCCTGGGCCAGCACGTGGCAGCTCCCATGCCCATAAGCCCGGACACCTCCCTGCCGGGGGCCGGGTGCACCGCAGTCCAGTTCAGCCCAGTGCCCCCATGTCCCCTCCACAGGACTGGCGCGGGGAGTGGGCGGAGGCGCAGCTGAGTTAGTGCCGTTTACTGCGTGTCTGTACACATTATAAAACACAGTCCAGTACAAAAAGCTTCCCCTGTACAGTACAAAGCGTACAGCGGGGTAAGGCCACCCGCGGCGTGGTGCAGACGGACGATGGGTGGGGGGGCGCAGCAGGCAGGGACCAGCGCAGGCACCCAGGTTTGGGGGGCAGGCCCAGCTGGCTGCCCCCACCCCACTCAGATGACCCCCACGGGTGGGCTCTGGTCTGGGTGGCGCGGGGCTAACCGTTAATGCTGCTTTACACTGCTGTGCTCCACCCCGCCGGCCCCATGGGCTGCACCAGCTCCCTGGCACATCCCTCCTCCCCCAGGCCAGGACCTCATGCTGGTGCCAGTGCCTGCAGCCGGGGCCTTGCCCGTTGCTGCCCAGGGGCCGCCTCTGCTGCCCCCTGCGCTCCCACCAGGCAAGGATGGCGGGCGCGGCTCCACTCTGCCCCAGCCGGGCCGTGGGGACACACGACAGTCGCCGGGAGCCGGGGCCGGCCAAGTGAGGTGTCTCGCAGCTGGAGCTGCCCAGCGCCCACGTGCCTGCTCCCAGCCCCGGGGGCCGCAGACTCAGCGCACCCAGCGCCCCGTGCCGGGAGCCGGCTCTGAGCTGGGTAAGTTACTGCGTGGGAAGAGCCCTGTCGTGTCGTGTGTCCGCGCCGTCCCCCGGGGCAGGGCGAAGGCCGCTCCGCCGAGCGTGGAGCCGGGTGCTTTGGTGTGCGGCGGCAGGCGCCCCCTCGCCCCTGCCAATAAATAAATATGTACAGCATATAAATAAATAAGGCAGGCGAGGCTGCAGCGCGGGGCCTGGCCCGGCCGCTCCTTGGGGGTACCTGAGAGCTGACCCCCTCCGAGGAGCGGGCCTGGCCGCTGTGCCCCTCTGCCACCCCCCAGCAGCGCGAGGAGGCTGCCGGGAGCCCCAGGGAGCAGGCCCCCCGCTGGCTGCAGAGGAACAGTCCCAGCCCCGTCCCCATCGGGGCCACTCGGGGCCCTGGGATGCTTTGCATGTGCTTTGGGGGCCCCAGTGCTCCGGGCAGCAGCTCCCGGGCCAGGCCTGCTCCACTGCCCTGGGGGCAGGGAGCACCGGGTGCCCAGGACGGTCCTGGCCGTGCTGGGCCGGCGCCGGGGAGGGCCCCCCAGCCACTGTGCACTGGGCCTGCTCCTCTTCTCCATGGGGTGACACCCCCACACCTCCCACATGCCCCGGCTGGAAGGCAGCCGGTCCCCGGGGCGTGGAGCCCTGGCTGGGGTGAGCCTCGGGGCGATGGAGACGTGTACGCGGGCTCCGCCACCAGCCCACGTGCCACCCCCCCATGCCCCCATGGCCGCCCTGCCCCGCTCAGTCCAGCTTCTCCAGCACGGAGGGCACGTAGACCAGGCTGAGCTCGCTGCCGAAGTTGCAGACGATGGCGGCGTTCTCCAGCACCAGGATCTGCCGGGCGGGCTGCGACTCATTGCTCTTGCCCAGGTAGACGGTCTGCAGCAGGTCCCCGTAGCCGATGTCCCAGAAGGAGACGCAGCCCTGGCCCCCCGTCACCAGCAGGTTGTCCGAGATGACGCCCAGGCTGGACCCACAGCCCACGTCCTGCAGGAGCCATAGGGGGGCTGTCAGAGGGGGCCAAGCTAGCCCCAACCCCGGCACCTGCCCCCTCCTGCAGAGGAGCATGCCGGACAGACAGACAGCCCCGCAATAACACCGTGGATGGCAGGGGTATGATGGGCACAGGGGCCACTGGTGGAGGAAGAGCCAGGGACCCTGCCAGGAAACCAGCCGCCCTGGCCTGGAAGGTCCCTCCCACTCCCCACGGCTGGACCGAGCCCCCCCACCCATGTGCTGCAACCGGCCGCCCACCTGCTGGATCGAGTAGAGCTTGGCCCCGGAGCTGCGGTCCCAGATGCTGATGACGTCGTCCAAGCCGCTGCTGATGACGCAGGACGTGGTGCAGGTGAGGGAGGTGACGTCCCCGCGGTGGGCGTACATGTGGCTGACGCGGCTTCCCGTCAGCACGTCCCAGAGGCAGATGGCACCGTCCTGGCCCCCACTCGCCAGCACCATTGTCTGCGAGGACACGGGCTGCGTGAGACATGGCTGTCCCAGGCCTTCGAGGCACGCGGCTCGCACCCAGGCACCATGGCCAGGTCTGAAAGCTGGGTCCAGCCTGGCTGCTGACCGTCTGCTGGGGCTGGGCAGCACTTACCTGCCATGTACTGACCCAGGGGCCCAGCCCAGCTCCGCCTGCCCCGACAGGATGCTGCCCCGCAACCCGCTCTGCACCCCCCGTCCGCACCCCCTCCTCACCTGATCTATGTACACGGCAGTGATGCCTCCCGAGTGCCCCTGTAGTGTGAACAAGCAGCACGAGTCCTCCAGGCGATACACCTGCAGGTCAGAGCGGAGCCGGCGTCAGCCTCCGTGCTGCATGAGCCCCCCTGCCGGAGCCCATCCCGAGGCCTTGCTGCTCCTTTCCCCATCCACCCGACCCATCTCCTGCATCCCAGCGCCCCCGTGACTTCCGGGGTGCAAGGCCTATCCCTCAGCCCCAGCTAAGTGGGGTGTGGATTCGCAGCAGGAGGGCACATGAGGCCAAGAGTCATGTGGCTTCACACCCGAATTAGTTGGAGGTGGGGAGGGAACTACCCGCCCAGAGTCAGTCCCAACCCCCGTTGGCCGCGGTCCGGGTGGGAGGGCACTCACTCGCAGCGTGTGGTCCTGGCTGCCTGTCACCAGCCGCCCCGCTGCCGCCTTCAGGGCTGTGATGGGCTTCTGGTGCGCGCAGGACACGGTGTGGGTGAGCTGACACAGGACGACGTCGCTGCTGCTGAACACAGGGGAGGAGGGCATGCTGCTCCTGCTGGGTGTTCCTGGGGGCACACGCATGCACACGCAAATCACACGGGTTGTGGCAGCCTCGCATGCCAGGGCTGGCCTCCCACTCCCCCTCTCCATGCCTGGCCGGGGACACAGAGGAGAGCTCCAGTCTGTTAGCAGCAATGCATGGCTGTCATGTTGCTCTTATGTAGTCGTTGCTGCTAGAGGATGTGTCATCTCAGGATGGGCTATGCCCAGGAGAGGTGTTGCTGGTAAGCGGCAGTTGCTCTTACCAGGTGTTGCTGCAAGTGAGCGCTGACTGCACCTCCTTTCTGGAGCTGGACTTGCCATGCCCTGGGCCAGGTTTTTCCCAAGGGCTGAGCCCCCGGCGAGCCACACAGAGGCAGCAGCTGCTCAGCACCCCCGGGGCCCTCTGCCACAGGGGGTCCCAGCCCCCTCCCACAGCAGCAGCTGCTGGTGACGATCAGCAGGACACAACCGTGCGGGCAGCAAGGCCCCAACCCGTACCTTACCCTGCCCCAGTCTCCAGAGCCGACGCTGGGACCACATTGTCCCCAACCGGCTTTGTACACCTCCCTCCCCAGCTACGTGCAGAGGAACCACCGGGATCTTCAGGGCTCGACTGCAGCGCTCAGCCCTGGGGCTTCCCCGTGTTTTCTGAGCGGCAATGCTGAGCGCGAGGACACATGAGCTGAGAGCACGGGGAGGGGACGGGGGAAGAGAGACCGAGGTCTCCCCATGTCGTCCTTGGCTGTGCAGCGTGCCCGGCACTCGCTCACCTCGGAACTGCAGGTGGTTGAAGGACGCGCGCGTCTCCAGGGAGAAGAAGTCCAAGGAGCCGTTCAGCCTGGCGGCCACGATCCTGGTGGACAGAAGCACACGCACGTGAGTACATGGTGAGGCCAGATCTGGAGACACCTCCAGAAGCAGAGTGAGGGCTATACTGCCCAGGCTGCACTCGCATGCCCCTTGCCATAGCTTTGATGCACGTGCTGATGAGGAGGGGATAGGGCTGCTGGGAACAGGCCCAGACACAGGGTGCGAGAGCTCTTGTACCCAGCAGGAGACACCGATGTGCTGGCCAGAAAAGGGGGGACTCGTCAGCACAGCCTGCAGCTGCCTGACCCACGTCAGCATGAATCCTGGCAGCTGTGCTGACAGCTGGCTTCAAATGACACGGGGGGTGCGGACAGACAAGGGAAACGTCAGAGGCGGTCAGTCACCTCTTGTTCAGGAACACAAGTGCCGTGATGCCCGACTGGCCCTCGTCGTTGCTGCAGCGCAGGGTCCCCTCGATGGCGTCCCACACCTGTAAGAGAGGCCGTGTGAAAGGCAGCCTGCGGGCCCCAGGGCTTGCATCTCTCTGCCCCAGCACCGCCGGCGCTCGTCCTCCTGCTGGCGGCCGGCCCAGTTCTGTTTGAACCCGGACTGGACACAAAGGTCAACGCCAGATGCTCCGGGGTGCTGTTCAGAACAAGAGCCCGGTGCTCAGGAGCACATTTAAAAGGTGAAAGACATGCACTGCACTGCATAGCATGTCTGTGTGCTCCTGCCCTCTCCGGGAAGGATCGCGGCCTGCATCAAAAGCTGAGTGGGAGAGTTTTGTTCTAAGTGTTTTGATGGGAAACACTGTCCAGATGACAGCAGATTTCATGCACTGAGATCCCTTCCCATGAGCAGGCAACAGCAAAGTTTGAAACAGTTTGCTTTTAATTCAGCTTTGGAAAAATATTGGAGTTTCATTTCCTAAACTTATTTTATGTTGCTGTTTCTATTGCTCTTATTTCTTTAGGTCATTTCATGACATGTTGATAAAAACAGTGTTCAGTTTGATGGCGCACTGAGTTATAGCAACAACCAAAATAGTTCATTAACTTAGAGCATCTTAGCTGCTTTCTAAACCCTTTGAGGGCAGCTGCCACCTGATGCAATCTGAATCATATCATCGTCTCGCCTGGTTCAAAGGGGCTCCTGTTTGTGTGGTAATGAAAAAGCTTAATCCTCTGAACAGAACAGAAAGATAAGCGCTTAATGCGCTGACGATGACGGAGCAGATGACAGACATTTCTAAATGAAGATCTCATCCTGACGCACAGTCTCTGCATCCATCAGACGCTCCTGTCCAAAGCCCCTAAAAGAACCTGAAGCTGCCCCATGGGGACGAGGGCTGGCAGCCTGGGCCCTAACCCAGCTGGGGCCCTAGCTGCTGGCATGCTGCTCACGGCATCTGGTCCCTCCCTCCAGGGAAAGCACCCCGGCCCCTTCCCTTACCTCCAGCTTCCCGTTGCTGCGGCCAGCCACAATGAGGTTCCCCTGCAGATCCAAGCTCCAGACGGAGCTTTCGAAATCGCCGCTCCAGGTGGGCACAGGCGAGGACTTGTCAAATCCGGGAAGCACCTCGTCCCCCAGGCTCCTCCTGCGGGCACTGCACCCGCTCTCCCCGCTCCCGCAGCTGGGGGACCGGGAGCCGCTGGCTCCCGTGCACAGCCCGACCTGTCCGTGCGGGGTGGAGAAGCCCGTGAAGTTCATGCAGTTCAAAGCGCTGTGCTCCTCGTAGGCCTTCCCCACCAGGCTGCCGAAGTCATAACCCGCCTCCTTCTGGTGGGCGCAGACCGTGCGGTGCCGCGTCTCCGACGCCGCTCTCGCCTGCTCGCAGAAGTTGGTGTCGATGAGAGACGTGAGGTCCGGCTGGTCACAGAAGAGTGGGGGCTGGGGAGGGCTGAGCATCCTTTTGAGCTGGTGGCCGTTGTCGTAGCACTCCTCTGGCCCGCACTTGGCGTCTGGGCTCTGGTCCCAGCCCTCCTGGTAATCGAAAATGCCACTGCTGTCCCTTCGCAACCTGAAATGCAGCAGCTGCAGGTTAGTGTGCCCTTCCCTACGGGCTGGGATTGGGCCCAGGAGGGACAGGTGGGACTGGACTGCTACAGCAGCCTCAGGACTGTGGAAGGAAAAGGGCAAAGCAGCAGTGGCCACGTACCCCAGCTTGGGGATGACAGTGAGGCAGTCTCCGGTCTGTGCGTCCCACACACGGATCTGCCCCACCAGGCAGCAGCTGACAAGCAGCATCCCATCACTGGCCAGGCACTCGATGTCCTGAGAAGGGAACACAGGCTTGGGTGAGCAAGGAGCTAGCAACACCTCTGGTTTCCAGCCATCGCCTTCCTCGGGGCTGCCCGTACACCAAGCACCGAGCACCCCCTGCACAGCGATGCCCAGCTCCAAACCACCAGCGGGCTCGGGCCCTTCCACGCTGCATCAGGGCAGGGGTTGCCCCAGGAGCCCAGTGCCGTATCCACACAGCAGAAGCAAAGCAGGCTTCAACTGCCTTCCACTTCCCGATGAATCTAGCCTGAAGAGGCTGCGGGCCCCAGCCCACCCTGTGAGTGCCCGCTCATGCTGGACTGCTCCACACACAAAGGGAGAGCAGCCAGAGACTTCATGTGCACAACGCTGGAAGGGGCAGGTTCAATGCCCCCTACATTTGGCTACCACGCAGCACCACTGGTGGCCTGGTCTTTCGTGGTTGTCTATGTGGTTTTGGACCTCTCCAGGGCACTGGGTTTTCCACTGCTGGGTGCACAGCCCTGCATATGAAGATAACCACATGACTAGTCTGTGACGGTAGAGTCAGAGGCCCTATGCATGCTCCTTGCTGGCATGAAGAACCGGACGCCTCCGCATGGAGTCCCCCAGAACCCGTGGTCATGGGCTTGAGCCGCAGGAGCAGACAAGCTGCACATGTACAGCCTTTGTTAGCCCCCAGGGCTCAGTGTACTTGTCTGAGAAGCTGGAAGCTCTGGGCCCCAGGCCCCCCTCACCTAGAGGAGGTTTGATCCCTGACTTCCCACAGGCCAGGCACTGCTTGTACCCCTCTGCAGTGTCCCAGGTGAAGCTGAGCCCCTACCGCTGCCCTTGGCAGAAAAGGATGGACGGACACTTCTGCCTCACCAGGAGCAGGGCTGCAGTCCTTCCCAGGCCAGCAGACACCTCACTGAGCTACACACCCTCTAGCCTACTTCCTTCCCCACAGCCTCCTGTCTCTCTCAGCCCTCTTGAAGCTGCCTGGGGTGAAATGCCAGGGGGAATGCCAAAGAAGGGTCTGGGTAATGGCTGAGCTGTGGGGAGGTGGGGAGGGTGCTGTGCTAGGAAGTCAGAGCTAGGTTCAAGGCCCCTCTGGGTGAGGGGGGTGTTGAAAACCCAGGACCTCTGACTTTCCAGGTGACTGCCCTGGCCACTGAGCTGTCTGGGAAAAGACGAGGTCTCTCAACGTGTGTAGCAGCCTACACTCAGGAATACAAGAGCCCAAGACGTACTGAAAAGCAGCCCCTGAGACAACTGGAAAAGAACCGGGCCATGCCACGTCTGGTGGTGCACTGTGTGCTGGCTACATTGCTCCGGATTGTCAATCCCGGGTCCCCACGACTTACCTCTGTGCTACAATAAGGCCACCAGACTGGCCCGTCAGGTCTCGCACTCGTGGCTGACAGAAGCACGAAGCAGGAGGGCATGGATTACAAATACAGGTCTCTCCTAACAAAGCCTGTTGGAGCAGATATGCGTAATCCAGCCCAAGCCAACCTACCATAAGGTGACCTCTGAGAACCAAAGGAACGATCTCCGTCTCGGGCGGTGAGTAACCATAATCGTCACAGGGCAGGTCCCCTCTCTTCCTTCGCGTGTGTGAGAGTCCGTTCTGCCCATAGTTCTTGGGGCAGAAGACTTTGTACAGGCAGAAGAGCAGAAGGACCAGGAGGATGCCGGAGGCCAGGCCCAGCGCTGCAACCCTGGTGGGCAAGACACACCGGTGTGTTAGTTGTACCTTACCCCAACACACCGGCCCCACTGGCACGTGCTGGTGCACGTGGTAGCCCCTGCCAGGAAGTTCGCAGCCTCTGAGCCCAACTAAGTTGTGAATGGAGGGGCTGGGCGGGTGTCTGTCTGGGATGGGTCAGGGCCACACCTGCTGCAGGGGTTTGGAGTAGAAGACCCTGGGGGTCCTCTCCAACTCCAATGCTCTGATTAATGTTCGGCGGCTGAAAATGAGCAGCCTGGGCTAAGTAAGCCTATGTATGTGTCCACCCCATGCCCCACGAAGAGCTAGAGGGTGACCTGCTGCTGCAGGGAAGGAGGCTGCCCTGGCTGGGCAATGGGGCAGTCAGGGAAGCGCATGAGGGGAGTGCTGTGTGCTGGGGCTGTGCAAGCTCTTTACTGGTACAGGGTGACGTCGTGGTGCCCCTGCAGCCTGGGTGAGCCCTCGGCAACTCGCCCTTCCGCCTCCGATCTCCCGTGGCCCACGGGGAAGAAGGAATGGTAGCGATTGGCCTCCTGGGGATGGCGCACTTCTAAGGCCTCTTGTGGATTCAGGTACAGGGTGACGGGGATCGCCGGGAGGATGCTGATATACCTGCGAGGGGAAGGGAAGACCACAGACCAACTTAGACTGACAGGGAAGGACCCCGTTGGAGCATCCAGACTCTCCCCATCCCCTGGGGACCAGGGTTGGGCCCCCCAGCATAGCCTCCACTGCTCTGTCCAGTCTCTCAGGAAGCCACTAGGCTCCACACCAAAACCCAGTGAGACTCCGCTCCATCTCCCCAGCTCTGCGAGGGGGGCAAAGAGCCAGCGTAGGAGCAGGTCACCCGCGTGGCCACCTGGGTTTCACAGACAGCAGGCACCACTACCTCACCTCCTGCATAACCCAGGGTGGGGAACCCAATCCGGCAACCCCAACATCTAGCCAGAGTGTGTGGTTGAACCAGAACGCATCCCTCTGACATAGGCTGGGCCTTTAATTGCAGCAGGCCACAAACTGCCTCCAAACGTACCCATGTGGCAGCACTGACATGCAGCTGCCTCTGGAGTGAAGGGAAACAGCCAAGCACATCGCTCACCGCAGCAAGGTGGGAGAGGTCAGGGATGACTGGATCAACCAGAAACCCCCATTCTTAAGGCAAAAAGCACTGAGACGAAGAGGCGCCAGGCAGAGCAGAAACAACCTGGAGAGCCAGTCCCAGCCAGCAGCAGGGACTCCAGCCACGGACAAAGGACAGCAAGTCAAAATGGGGCAGGGACTTAGCATGGAGCAGTTACCCCGCAGTACGTGAGTTAAACCAGGGCAGCTTAAGTTTCATTCAGGGCTAAGCTGCCCCAGGTCAGCTTCCAGTTACTGCAGTGTAAGAGCAGGCAGCCACCCCAGAGCCATTGCTCTGGGCAAGTCCCCATGCCCAGGCAATTCGCTGTCTTTGGTCCATTTGTCCAGGCCCTTGGTTTGTCTGCTCTGAAGGAGGGCTGAGCCCGGCCTGCTGGGCTCTGTGGGGCCCGCACAGGGCCGCAGCCCCCACGCTCCCAGCCACTTGCCTCTTGGCCAGCGTGATGTTGTAGTAGCTGAAGAGGGCTGGCCAGTGCCGGAAGGACAGCTTCCTCCAGATCTCCTCGTCCTCTGCCCCCCATGTCACCTCTGCAGCAGTGCCCAGCTCTGGCTGCCCGTTCCCCCTGCTCTCTGCTCCCTGGGCCCACGCGTCCTCCTCCAGCTGGTCCAGGGACTCCAGCCCCGCCTTCTGCTCCCGCTGCTGCGTCTGGTTCTCAGACAGCAGCACGGGGTCCGCCGGGAAGACAGAGAGGTCGATCTTGGCATCCCCGGCGGGAAGGACCCCACCGGGCACGGGCATGGGGGGCAACCCTGCCTCTCCCAGAGGGCTCTGCTCGGTGACCTGCGACGTGAGGTAGGTACGGAGGCCGGCGGGGTCAGTGTAGACCAGGATTCCAATCCAAATCACCGTCCCGGCCTGCACGGCACAAGCGGAGAGACAAGAGTGTTTAAAACCCGGTGCCCTGCCCACAGTGGCCAACATCCCCACTGCACAGGGCCCTCCCAGACACTACGTGCTATCTGGCCTGCTGTCAACAGCCTCCCACAGAGACAGTCCTGCTCCAGCAGGATCGAACCCCCCTGACTTCGGCTGGAGCTGTGAGGATTTGTAAAGCAGCAAAGCACCCACAGAAGCCTGACACTATGAATGTCTAGGAACTCCTGGTCTCCATCACATAAGGACATCTGCCCTGGGTCTCTTGAGTGCATTGTAACAACCCTGGGAGCAATAGGACCCTGCCAGCCCTCGTCCCCGTGCTACCTGTGCCAGGATTGGGTGTTCCTCGTCTTTTGGGGCATTGTGCTTTGTGCAACAGGGTTGATTGTAATGTTTTAGGACTTGTCTGGGATGGTTTAGACAGGGATGGTCTTGCCTAGAACAAGGGGCTGGACTGGAAGGGACCTCCAGAAGGCCCTGCTGGTCTGACTAGCTGTGCTTCTGTGATATTTGTGCCACGCACACATGCACAGCCACACTCCCCTGTGTACCAGGAGAATGGCTCATTGCTGCCAAGTTTCCAGCAGGGTGAGTGACCTGCCTGAAGCAGCGTGGAAAATAGTTTCATCTCCGTGTGATGAAAAGCCCTAACCCTTCCCTCCACACTGCCCCAGGAGCTGAGTACTTGTCCTTTTCAGGATCTCTCTTCTCTCCTCATTCAACCACTCCTGAAAGGATGCCTCTGCAGAGATGCCTTCAAGTAACTAAAAGGAGCCTGGCTAGAGGGGAACTGGGAATAGCCCACTAATCACTGCTCAGTGTCAGTTAAATTTTGTGCTCTAATTACTGAGCAGAGCCCTGGAGCCAACGGAAACAGGCAGACAGGGCTCGCAGGGAGCTGCTTTCCTGATGACACCACCACTGCGAGGAGAACACGAAGCTTGAGGGGAACAAAGCTGCTCAAGAAGCCACGTTTCTTTTTCTGGAAACGCAGCCCCCAGAAATGGGTCAGCAGGGTGCACCAGACAGCCGAGAGCTTGCACGTACCATGATGAGTCTCTGGGCCAGCCGGGTCCTGGCGAAAAAGTAGATGACCCGCAGCCTCTTGGGCAGGCGCAGGTTCCTGAAGGAGGAGGGCTGCAGGGTGATGGTGTGCGGAGTGGCAGGGCGCATGGCCAGCTGGCGCTCATACCGCTGGGAGCGGCTGATGGACTTTGCTGGGGGCAGGCAGGCTTCTGAAGGCAGCCGTTTGTTCAGGTCCGCAAGCTGTGAAAGGACAGCAGAGGGGTCAGGGAGGTGACAGACTTCCAGAGAGACATGATCCCTGAATCACCTGGCTGTACATGGGTCCGGGCCTGAGCAGGTGAGGCCAGGCCCGTTCCCATGGTCTGCAGATACACATGTGCACCTGAGCACCCAGCCTCGTGTGTGTGGCCGTCCATTCCCAGGCTCTCCCAGCCATGCATACCCACGGCCCAGCGATTGGGTGTCGCTGGCATCTCTCTCACGCACCCAACCACACCTGCTGGATGTCAGTTCTCTGCATATGCCCGCTGCTGTCCCTCCCTCTACCTGCCACCTCTAGCAAGCACCTCCCCAACCTCCCACGTTGACTCTTCTCTCTGCACGAGAAACAAGATTGCAGGGAGAAGCAGCAGCAACGTCAGGCGTGGATCCCCCCAGCCCGGGCACCAACCTCCATACGGCGAATGTCGATGGACAACACGGTGCTGAAGAAAAACATCTGCAGGAAGAAGTCAGACACCAGTCCGACCACGGCGAAGAGGCAAAATTCCTGCAAGACACAATATGCCCCACATCAGCACAGAAGCCTTCTGGGCTCCCGGCAAGTATTCAAAGGCAAGCCCACCGCCCAGCCCTGAGCATGCTCCCTGCAGAGGTGGTGCAATCACCTACCCTGGAAATCTTCAAGAGGCGACTGGACGGTCACCTCACTGGGGACACCTGACCCGTTGCCTTTCCTGCCTAGTGCAGGGGGGGCTGGACCCAATGATCTCGCAAGGTCCCTTCCAGCCCCTTACAATCTATAAACTTATGCCTGGCTGGCAACACTGATTTCCCACGGTTTAATTTGTGCGGGTGAACTTTGTTCTGTTGGCGGGGTCCCACTGCAGAGCTCTGGAGCCCGCTTATGTGCAGAACAGGTCTAACATTTCTTGTGCTTCTTATCCAAACATCTCAGCGTGCTTTGGGGAAAGTGAGGCAGGAGACATGAACTCAGTCCATGGTGTAGTGGCAGGCCCGGAGCCAGCACTTGCAGCTTCCTGGGCACGTGATCTCACCGCAGGACCAGCAACATGCCTGACCTCCTCCAGCATGCAAGAAGCTCAGTCTCCGGACTCAAGCAATCACTGGCCTGCCGCTACGGGGGCGACCCGTTCCAACTGCAGTGGTGGTGCTGGTGGGATGTGAACAAGCCCCCGGCTAACCGCACTGGCCAGATAGCAGACAGCATCCTTCAATCTCCAGCTCTGCCTGGTGGCAAGGGAAGGATCCCACAGTTCAACAAGCCTTTCCGTGTCAAATCCTACGAATCGGAGGCGAGACCGGCCGAAGCCCCTGCAATGCTCCTCTCTCCCGGCAGGTGTCAGCGTGCGGACGAGGACGGGCAGTTACTGACCCTGAAACTGTGCAGCAAGCCACCGCCCCAAACACAGTGCACAGCATCATGCAGGTCCCCACCTGCTACCTCTCAAGAGTGTTAGTGCCCGGGACTCCTCTGTCCTTTGAGGGAGCAGGGTCCTGTCCAGCCCAGCGAAGGGTCAGGAGAGTAAGGATGTGGAGAGCTCGGGACCAGTGCTGGGCTAAACAGCAGGCTCAGGACACAGTGGCAGAACGACGCCAGCAGACACCCCCCCACAGATCCTGCGCTCCCCCTTCTGCACAGGCAGCCCTGGGGTCCCCTTCCCTCCCTGCTGTGCGGGTCGTTTGCCTCCCAGGCACCTCCACAGAGCTGGGACAGAGGTGGACAGGGAGCAGCTGGGCTATCCAGACCCTTTGTCCTGCCCTAGACACAACCCCTTGTCCTGCCAATGCTGCTCTCAGACACAAGCAGTGCAAACAGCTGCTTGGGGCCCTGCATGGACTTGGCGGCGCACAGACCCAGCAGGCCGCAAAGTGAAGTGTTTTTGAGTCAGCTGTTGCCTCTGGCAAACCCCCACCAGCAAAGGCATTTCCTTCCGGCTCCGCATCTGGGCTGGAGATGGGGGGAATGGACAGAAAGGCTGGAGTTCTCCCTTGGGCTTGGGGAAGGAACGTGCAGCTGGATTTCACCCTTAACCAGACACCCACCGAGCCCCAAATCTCTGGGTCAGCCCTGTTTTGTGCACAGCTCAGGTCTCCTTACGCTCCACCTGGGATCTAAGACAGATGAACCCAAGGTTGCCGTACTGACCCGCTACAGACTGGCTGTGTACGGACCATGCACACAATGCTGCTGCCCCCATGGCTTTGACTGAGAGCAGGATCGGGCCCTGGGAACCGCAGACATTTTGGATGGCTGAGGTTGAAAGGGCAGAGAGAGTGGGAGAGGGCAGGCACCCAGTCAGCCCCCGAGGCACAGAAGCACTGCCTCTCATGGGTCTGAGGTTTCTCAGTGAGGTTTTAACTGGGCCGCCATCCTGGGACAAGGGGGCTTCCTGCCTGCCTGCCATACAGTAGGAAGGGATGCCTGCCCCATCCCTTAAAGGCGGAGATGCAATTTGCAACTGGTTCTGGCTGCAAGACATGTCCTATCAAGCCCAACTTTGGGAGACCCCAGAGAGCGGGACAAAATCAGAGGAAAACATGGCTCCCCTACACCCCTGGAGCTGACAGCAGGCTTCAGGCTGAGGGATCTGCTGCTCCTCTCCACGCCTCAGGCACAGATGCACATAAACCCTAGTGGGGACCTGGATCAGCGGTTACTATGCAACCGTCACGTCTGCGTGATTCTGCAATGATGGAAGGGCAGCAAAACTGCTCCAGCGTTAGCTCTGCTCCATCCACAGTTGCAATCAGAGTAAATCAACTCACTTGCGTAGGACCAGGCAGATGTAATGCTTATAAGCTAATGTCCCCCCCAGCTTTCTAAAGGGGCTAGAAAGTACGTCTGTCCATAGCCCGGATGCATTTGGCGCTGTGCTGCACAGCAACCAGGAGCAAAGGTCAGTGCCAGACGCACACGGCCCAGATCTCTATCTCCTGGTTTCCTTGTACTCTGCGACACTAGTGCTGCATCTTATCTCCACTGCGTCCTTCACTTCTTACCTCCATTGCGTCCTTCACTCACACATACACAGGCACATACACACTCCAGCAGAGCAGCACCCAAAGACAGCTTTGCTACGCAGCCTGGAAGAGCTGGAGGTCGCAGCAGGAGAGGATCATGGGTGACGCATGGGCGGTGGGGATGATCACATACATCAAGGGACAACCAAGTATAACACAACAATTACAATATAATGAGCAGTGTCCAGACATGCGTGGACATTTGGTTCCCCGGGGACAACGAGTGGCAGCGCAGCCTGTGCTGCTAGTTGCCCCTGGGGAATTCCTGTGCCAAACGTGCTGTGGCGTGTGGCAAGTTACCCTGGGTGGGTAGGGTTGGCTGGGGCAGCCTTACCTGGGGTACTGGGGGCCTCCTGGGGCTGCAGCAGTGGTGATCCTGCCATGCGGAGCCTGGCCAGTGGTGGAGTATGGTTCTGGCCAGCCAGGCTTCAGTTTTGAGTGGCATATGCTGCTCGGCTTTTTTCCCCCCATGAGTTTTTTTGACCCCTGGATATCCGGGGGTCAAAAAAACCCTCCGTGCTGCTCCCTTGCAGTGCGGAGAACAACTGACCGTGCAGTATATGGCGCCACAGACGTGCCTGCAGCACCACATATTGCACAGCCACGCTCGTCTGGACGTGGCCATAGAGGAGTGGAGCCGGAAGGTACCTGCAGAGGTCACATCTAGTCCAACCCCCTGCCTGAGGCAGGGTCAGCCTTGTCCAAACTACCCCAGACAAATCCATAATCTAAACTCTTTGTAAAACTACTGTCAAGCCCCATCATGAGGGTTTGGCGCAGCATCACCCTCTTCCAGGGTAGCCCATGGACTCCTTAAGCACTTTTTTTGGCTGCTCCGCCCTCAGTTTATAGCTACAGGCGTCAGGACCTACAGGGCTCACTCACCCTGCAAGGCTCTGTCTCCTTCTGAGAGCTTGACCTTCTTGCACCCAAGCAGGACTCAGCCTACTGGACCCTCTCGCCCCTGCTGACGGCGCCTTCACCATCCGCTCTTCAACCTGCTCCACTGTACACAAACTGGGCTTGTACATGTGGCAAGTCACCAAAATAGCCCTTGGGTGAGGAACCTGCTGGATGTCCCTACCTCAGGCACTAGTTCTGCATCCATCGGGGACTGTGATGTGTGGGGGAGGATTCGAGATGGCTGACCTTTTTGCTGTGGAGCAGTAACCAGGAGTGTGGGGAGACTTATTGCCCTTGCTGGGAGAAGCGTGGCGCTGCCTCAGCAGTATTACCTGTGCACGTGGCTGGCCTGGCACAAACCCTGGCTGGGTAGGGACACTGGCAGCAGTTATCAGGGGAGTCACCTTTGACTTGCAGATGACTCAGCAGCTCTGGTGCTGGAAGCAGCAGTGTTCAGTGGAGATGGCAAAGGGCTGGGAGGTGAGAGACCTCAGTTCCACTCCTGGCCTCTGCCAAAGGGACTCAGTCTCTCTGGCTGTGAAAGGGGGGTAGTAATGCCCACCTTTGTAAAGCTCTAAGGGCTTATGATCATGGGAAGAAAATCCAGGACAGCTCCTCTGCACTGGCTCTCATGCAGGTGTCTATTCTGCACCTACTGAGAGGCCTTGCCTAGCTCACTCTGGAAGTGGCTGAAGTCAACCCACACAAAGCCACTCAGGACAGGGGCAGAAGAAACACTTACACTGGCGTATTTGGCAATAATTAGCAATTCACCAGCATAAAGAGGCAGTGGACAGATAACCCAGCCTGCCAAACTGGGGTGACTTCAACCAATCCAGTGGAGAACTGTCCCTGATAAAATGAGGGGTAAAATTCCTGCATTGTTAAGCTACAGCATTGTAATGATGGTCTGTCCGCGCTGCATCCAACCTGGGGTAGCCAGCCACTAAAGGCAAAGAGGCTACTCCCTGCTCTCCTACCAGAGAGCAGCAAGCCATAGAGGAGCCAGTGCACGACAGCTGCACATCTTTTTGTTCCTGATCCTGGTATCACATTTATATCAGCATCTAAAGCCAATGTACATCACGCCAGAGTGTGTGTTCATCTGCCTGTGCCCTCAGCATGGGGTAGGGGTGGAATCGCTCTTGTGCTTTCAATTCATGCCATTTTCCAATAGATTCTTGATGAGCCCTGAACTCTATGGGAATAGATGAGCCCTGAAATCTATGGGTTATTGGATTGGAGGGAATTAAAATGCCCAGCTTTTGTAACACAAAAATGTGTCACTGGCTGTGAACAGCCTGAGGGTCGCAGGCTGCAGCCAGGCTAAGTGGAGCATGTCGCAAGGGAGGAGAAGGGGCCGAGGGGCGCTCTGCATACGAGAGGATGTTGGCTGGAAGGCTCCAGTGGTGGGTAATGAAAAAGGAATCGTGCCAGTTTCTCAGGGAGGGACTGGCCTGTCCTTCTAGAGCAAGAAACTGGAAGGACAGGAGAAATAATAACCAATTTGTGCCCTAGGTCCTGTTTCCGTCATTCAGTCCTGCTCACAAGCTGTTTCCACACACTGATTGGGAGGGACTGAGGGACTGGTGAGACATGCTGCATCACTCCACTGCATACGCTGTGCAGAGATTGAGGGAGATTCTCAGCTAAGCAGGGCGAGAGTGAGGAGAGCAAGGAGGATAGCAGCTGGCTGCAAATGCGCCAGGCCTCAATTTACATCTCCTGCCTGCAGAGACTGCTAGCACAGCACCAGGACGCTGGTTCCATGCTGATTCAGACCCTCCTCACAAGTGGCGCCGGGAGCCTTGGTGTTTGCAAAGCGCTGTGAGAAACCCAGAGAGAAGGCAGCAGAGAAGTGAAGTGCTATGAATTCTCCTGCAATTTGCGTGGAGTGTCTGATACTTTACACCCTCTCCTTGTGCCGTGGGAGATGTCACAACACACGGCCAAACAACTGCTGGGCTCCAAGAGCTGGCAGCAATTCCAATGGGAGGGAAGAGACTCTTGAGGACTGAATGGTCACAGGTGAGCTTACAAGCCTGTCTACAACCCCCTTAAGCCCTGACACTGAACAGCTGCACGCACCTGGATAGCTGGGACCAGCGTGAAATAGCCGATCAAGATGATCCCAAGCTCCGTGGCCATGTTCTTCATAATAGACCAGCTCTCATTGCTCAAGCCTGGAGAAAGAAAACACGCAGTCAGGTACAAGGAAGAGACAGCACTCACTACTCGCTGGAACAGGGAATTGGCACTCAGGACTCCTGGGTTCTATTTCTGCCCCTATATGCCACCTAGGAGAAGGCTCTGGGCCTTAGCCTTGCTACCCGTGAAACGGGGATTATTCTGAGACTCAGCCAGAAGGCAGCAGAGAAGCATTATTTTTCCCTGAGGTCAAAAAAAAGTCTCCTTTTCTTCTTCTTTCTGAAGGGAGCAGATTGCCGTTGCTTTCCTGTGTTAACACACAGATCTGATCTGCACAGACCGTCTCAGCCAGCAAAGCTCCATGTTGATCCAAGCAGGTGGAGGACACTGCGTGGGATCTAGGAAGATGGTGCCCAGGACTGGAAGAGACCTTCTGGCCCAGTCACTTAGCCTCCTGCTGTCACAGACACCAGCACCACATAGCTCCATTCGTAGCAATCTCCACCTTAAAGCAGGTTAGGTTCCTCGCCCCCACTATCCCTACTGGAAGGCTGCTTCAGCCCCCCAGTCCTCTGGTGACCAGAAACCTTTTAATTTCCAGACTGAGTTCATTTCTACATCCCCACAAGGTCTCCCTGGGGAACACTGGCCTATTAAAGACATGGAGCCTGCCACACAAGCCATGGGACTGCATCTGCCTTGGAGGCAGCATGTTGGCCGTCTTTGCTCCAAGTGGACATGGCACCAGAGACCAACGTTAAGAAATGCCAGGGCTTTCCTTTTGCTGGTGATCACTCCATATTAGCTTACCTAGCATGCACAAGCCAGGGCCAGGTCTGGGAACCCCAGTGACCAGGGGCCACATTTATGGGCTTTCGCTAGCTCTCAGCAGCAGCTGCAGTCACTATTAAAGACAGTCAATATGATTCCCAGCTCCAAATGCGGTCCTGCTTTCTCCCTTCTCAGACTGTGTGTGACATTCCTTCCCAGCCCCTAGTCCCAGGATACCCTCCTTCAGACCGAAAGCGAACTTCCTCCTTCCCAGAGCTGTCAAATACCTTGCGCGATCCTTAGCTTCACTTCCAGGTCAACCGGTGTGGAGACAACCGACTTGGTGAGAACCAGGACATTCTCCAGCCCGATCACCACCACCAGGTATGGAAAGATCTCCCTGGGGGAATGTGAACAGAAAGGGAGCAGAGAGTGATGAACAGAGCTGAGAAATGAGGCAGGAGAATGGATTAAGTGACAACCAAGGCCCAAGGGACTTTGTTCAGGCTGGAGTAACGTCCTCCCTCAGACAATGCTAGTCTGGGAGCAGGAGAGAGGTGCTGACATTTTGTGTTTGCTGGTGAATTGGCCATCGAATGCTGTCCTTAACTCACACAGCGAGCGCTCCAAGGACTTGGCCTCCTGAGTGTGTTTGTACAGCGCATAACACCGCAGGGCCTGGAGCCAAGGTCAGAGCTTTAAGCACTGCTGCAATGCAGTTAATGATAAACAGTCAGGGTTGCAGCCGGGCATCAGCATTACACCCCCTGCCGAGTCACAGGAGGTCCTCATGTCTGTCCAGCCAAGCCATGTCAAAGCTTCTCAGGGAGAGGAGCAGGGCAGGGCCGTGGGGCTGGGTGAGATGCCTGGGGGGCAGGTTGCAAACTCACCAACTAGAGTACCAAGTTCCCTGCAAGCTACAGATGTGGGCAGCCTTTGCGCTGAATGGAGCAGGAACCCTTGTGTCCGCAGGCCAGCGCAACCCCATGCAGGCTGGGCCAAAGCTGAGGCCCTACTGTACAGTGTCTAACCCACAGCTTCCCTCTGCTGAAAGAAAGCCCTGCAGCCTGGGTGGTGATCCTCCACCCTGTCAAGGCAGAGGGGATCAGCCATCCAGATATCCCCGCTCAGCCACCCAACTGCTCCCAGGCCCCAGCTAGCCCCCACAGAGGCATCCCTGCAGTGTGCAGCAGAGATGTAACCTGAACACGATTGAAGCAAACCCTGCCAGGGAAAACTCTCATTCAAGGCTTGGAAAGATGCTTCCAATGGCAATTTGTCCTTTGAAACGTGGCACATGGCAAAATAACCCTGTCTCAGATCACTGTGGGGCTCTATTCAGCCCTCCTGCCTCCCCTGAAAAACCACCTGCTGTGCTCCCTGCTGCTCACACCAGCCCAGGAAAGATTAATTCACAGATGCCACCACCTTGTCCGGGCCACAGAAGTGAATGGCCACCCTGCAAGCACCGATGGCACTGAGAGGACCCAGCGGAGAAAGAGCTGAGAAGGAAACTCAGCTCCTTGGCAAGCCAGCCTTGGGCACAACAGTGAGACAGCAGTACTGCAGCCAAATGAACCCACTCTGCTTGCTGCACGGCTGGTCCCCATGCTGAGCCCTATACCCACACGTGCCTCAGTAATGCACAAGGCTTTGGCAGCAGGTGCACACATACAAGTGAGAGCAGAAGAGATGTCTCCTGCCGCTGTCCTGCCTCTTGCAAGCTCAGACATTGCTGCTAAGAACATGATCTGCTCAGGGCCGCTGCTAACTCAGCTCTTTCACTCCGATCGATTCTTTAAACAAGGTGAAGCGGCTGTTGCTCTTTTGGAAAATAAGAGGGAGAACTCAACCTGTGCCCTGGGCTGCCCTTTGCTGGCGGCTCCCATGAGCTCCTGCAGGTGGGAGGAGGCTCTCGCTGAGCAGCCAGCTGGCCAGTGAACTCTGCAAGGGGAAAAGGGCGCAGCTCTCAGACGAGCACAGGCACGGAGCAGGGCAGAGCAATGCACACACTGGCCCATCTGCTAGGCAAAGGTCAGCAAGGGGGGATGCACTAGCTAATGTGCTCTCCTGTGCTGCCTGTGAGGTGAAGGCCACTTTCCAGCTCCCCTACATTATGACACAAGTTTCCAGGGCTTTGCTGGGTGCCCCAAGGGGCTGGAAAGACATTTTTTGCTACAGGTGTCAGGGGTTTTTATTCACCTTTCTCAGAGCCAAAGCTGGGGATGATGACTGGGCTGTGCCAATGCTCCTGCTGAGAATTAAAGCTGGAGATTCCTGGCTAGAGGGTCTTGTCCCTCTACCCAGGGTCAGACCAATGCCCCGTGGTCAGACTGGTACCAACTGAGGGGCTTTGCCTTCCTCTGTAGTGGGGGCATGGCTGGGATCTCTCGAATGTATTTTTAACAAACTCTTTCCAGTGCTTGCAGTGGCAGGACACTGGCACGGCCCTGCTTTGCCTTTGGTAAGCTAAGACACGTTTCTGATATATCGGGCGTTGTGCCTGGTAGTTGTGCCTGTGAGTTTATTTCCAAGTTTTTAAGAGCAGGCCAGGTAAACACTTGTCTGGGATGTTTCGGACAGGACTGATCCTGCCCAGAGCAGGGGCCTGACTTCCCGTGGCCCTGCCAGCCCGACTCTTCTACGCTTCCCAGGTGGGGTGGGGAAAGATGTTATGTAACAGATTTCTACTAGGGAGCTCTACCCTCCTCCACGGATTAGCTGTCCAGACCAGCCGTGGTCTAGAGGAAAAACCCTGCTCGGTCATCTCCCCACTCAGTGCGGAGCCAAAGTCATTTTGCTGGACCTACATTCTGGAGACGGGCTCCTCGGCTACCAGGGCACCTCGGCACAGCAGGCTGGTGGCATCTTTGTTCAGAATTAAACAATGCAGGCGTTTCACTGCACTGATAAGGAAAGTGAAGAATGGACTCCGCTCCTGCGCTGTTTAGCTCTATTCAATTTACAGGGAACTTCACTTAGGCACAAACCTGGCAGGGGCATCATTCACTTAGCTGCATACCTCAGTGCCAGCCCCAGCGTGTTGCCTTACACTGTAACAAGCTTTGGTTATAGGCACATGGGTTAAATGCACACACTGCTTCCCTGCGTGGCAGCTGTCAAAAGGCTGCAGTTAGAAGGCTTGAGAACGACAGGAGGAAGTTGGCTTCAGCCCACGCACTTACCACAGCACAAAAGGGCTGTGTATTTAAAGAGCAGTGTCTGCAAGGAGTTTGGCTGCGGCCATGTACTCACAGCGAGTAAGGATGCTGTACTCCCTGCACTCTCCGTCTCTCAAGATGCTGCAGAATTTTCTACCGACAGCACATAATTACGGCACAGAAGCCATCAAGGAGAAATGCAAAGTCAACAAGGAGAAATGCAAAGTGCTGCACCTAGGGAGGAAAAATGTCCAGCACACCTACAGCCTAGGGAATGACCTGCTGGGTGGCACGGAAGTGGAAAGGGATCTGGGAGTCCTAGTGGACTCCAACATGAACATGAGTCGGCAGTGTGACGAAGCCATCAGAAAAGCCAATGGCGCTTTATCGTGCATCAGCAGATGCATGACGAATAGGTCCAAGGAGGTGATACTTCCCCTCTATCGGGCGCTGGTCAGACCGCAGTTGGAGTACTGCGTGCAATTCTGGGCGCCGCACTTCAAGAGGGATGCGGATAACCTGGAGAGTGTCCAGAGAAGGGCCACTCGTATGGTTAAGGGCCTGCAGACCAAACCCTACGAGGAGAGACTAGAGAAACTGGATCTATTCAGCCTCCGCAAGAGAAGGTTGAGAGGTGACCTTGTGGCTGCCTATAAGTTCATCACGGGGGCACAGAAGGGAATTGGTGAGTAGTTATTCACCAAGGCGCCCCCAGGGGGTACAAGAAATAATGGCCACAAGCTAGCAGAGAGCAGAGTTAGATTGGACATCAGGAAGAACTTCTTCACAGTTAGTGGCCAGGGTCTGGAA